TCTCATACATGATGCATAAATTCCTTGCAAATTAAGAATTTTTCTGGTTTTTGTCAACTTCTTCCCCTTAATCCTGGTGGTTTCATAAAGACGGAGAGAAGGTGGAAGAATGTTTGTCTTTTCCCATAAGGAGGCAGTAACACTTTAGGCTTCCTGTTGCTGTTATCTCTGTGTGAAGAGTTTCTTAATTATCTTATCCCTTTCTTGAGCTAGTAAAAAAATATCTTACATCTCATAGTTTCTATTTCAACATTATGTTGTAACCTAAAACTATATTTAAGACACTACTTAAAAAGAATTAGTACAGTATTACAAAATAACCCTCCATAATACACATAGTATTCAATTTAATATTTGCGAAGAGCCAATAATTTAATCTGCATTTTTCACAAGACTAAACATCTATCATCATCTGCAACTACAGAGAGATAAATAATGATGTAATTCCAATTCTTTACTTCCTAATTATGAGAATCTATACTCGATTCTGTAAGTTATCTATGTAACCATTATTTTGCCGTGAAAGCTCTGGACCAATTTTCCTCATCCAGTGCCTCAGCTTGATGCTGTTTGTTACCAATTAAGAATCAATCTAAATAAACTCTGAAATGAAGTGTACACTGCCTTTTAAGTATGACTACTGTGCATAACTATAACAATTTCAAAATTCTGATGCTAGTGTTCTACAGAACAGAAGACTTTTTAAGACCTCTTTAATAAGAATCTTAACATAATTCTCACATCCTGGAAGTATTTTTTTTCTCTTTTTACATAATAGAAGCAATAGGTAAGAGACTTGAAAAGCTATTAAATAAAATAGTGCGACTCTTGGAAAAGTGTCTATTGCTTATTTATTACAAGATCTTGCTTGTTTTATTGATGCAATAAACAAACACACCTATGTTTTGACAGAGCTAATAGCATGCCCAAATACACTTTCTAGAAAAAACTGAAAGTGTTTCTTATATCCTCTAGTTTAAGCCTTTACTACTGCCCATCACCAAAATTCAAAGGTTTGGTTGGAGCATAGTAAGAGAATGAAACATGATTATATGTTTAAGGTATAATAATGAACAAGATCAAAGCCTAAATCTGCAACATTCACATTTAACTATTCATACTCAACTGAAAAAGAGGTTCAGCAACCAGTATTACAGTAACCCTGAAGAAAACAGATATATGGACTCAGACAGGTGTTATCTAGAGCATATTTTTAATGTAATTTGCATTTAGAGCCAAAAAAGGGTAAGAGTAGAGAAGTATATTTGCTATTCCTTTTTTTTTTTTTTACATTATAATTGAAGCTAATTTTAAAAAGAAAATGTGGTATTTCAATACATGGAATTGATATATTTGAGTTTATAATTCAAATACTTAAATCACATGGAATTTCTCTGCACAGGAAGTCTGTGATACAATGGAAAACAAAGAGTTAGTTAAAACCAAATAAGCAATAACTTTTCATTCTGCCTACTGAGGGTTCAACAGTTACTTTTATCCTCATAGCAAAAAGATTTAAACAATGTAAAATAAACTATATTTAAGTCTAGCACATCTCCATCACATTTCTCAGTTACTTTGAAACATTAAACGCCACTTCATTGTAGTCACAGAACACAGAAATTAGTGTTAAGTCTTTGTACTCACATGTGTCAATATTTGAGAGTATAAAAGACATTCCACTCTATAATTCAAAGCACAAGGAAGCTATTTCCAGAGTAGTCATATCCTGCGACTACTAACTTGCAGTTGATGTAAAACTGAGAAGAGGCATATGTCTTTTCTATTAAGGTTTTTATTCTTTTTTAATACCTCAGTAAGAATTTTGCTATAGCATTCCATTCCTTCTATAAGATAGTGTTTTATAAAAGTGAAAAGAGTTTAATTTCAACCAATTTCAAAAGAATCAGTAAAAGAGATTTTTTGGTATTTAGGTAACATATAAAAATACCTCCTATCCAAGGACTGTTGCAGAGTATGCACGTGAAAAATAACCACACTCTTGCCTTGCATTTTAAAATGTGCTTTCTACCATGTGCTTAACAATCAGAACCTCAGAGATACTACAGACAGCTGGAATCTTGTTACTGGCATAAGCAATATAAAAAATGGGAATATAATTTTAGAATTTGACAATAACAGCTTTTTCATTTTTTCTTTTTAACCACAATAATTTTCATCTTCCTGGCTGAAGTATTTCAGTGGAAGTTCAGGAAGAATGCTTTGAGTATTTATAAAAAAAATAAATCTAATTTCATATGTTTCAACAAGCAATTGGGTATCAATATCCTTGTCTTTAAAACTACATACCTGCAAATTATTTAATAAATTTTTATATCTATATTTCACCCCTACAGAGCATACAATTTTTTCCTCAATGTTCTCAATAACTTTACGGGCTGTCAACTTGGGTGCAATGTAGTTTAATCATTGCAAATCAGAAAAAAAAAAAATCAGCCAATTTAATACAAGTTTACTGCTGCAGATTTGCAAGAGAAACAAATAGGATTTTCTTATACACAGAATTTAATACAGTATAGGTATATCATGAAACAAACACATGAAAGTGGTTTCAAAATAAGAGTTTAAAAGTGGCAATATACAAACAGCATTACTTTCAACATATCTTTATTTAAAAGTATTAAAATATTCTCCCCAAGAATGGCTAAACTTGTTGGCTCCACACTGAATACTAAGAGAAAACACAAAACAGCCAAGAAGCGAGGATGAACTTTTTTAATATATATACTCTTTTATACTCTCAAGACAGTCTTTGTCAATTTAAATCACAAAAGAAAAATACTCCAACATGAATTTTTTTTAAAAAATCTCCTAAATAATTTTTCTTTTTATCTACTTATTTTGGCTTTTAAACACCTCTATCACCAATAAAAGCCTAAATCAACTTGTTGAGTTTCTGGAGCAGGAAACCCATTTACTGCCCATCACTGAAATGAAACACCAAGTCAACAATATTCAGTATGCTGGAATACTAAATTTGCAGGTAAACTATATTCTACTCAACACAAATCAATTTCACTTAGACATTCGCATGGCTTATGTGCCATAATAAATTCTACTACTGATCAACAGTAATGTGCTGAATTATATTAAATACCCGAATCTCATTCTCCTTTATGAAATTCTTTTATAGATTCTTTGCAAAACAAAAGAGCCCTTTCAGCTGTAAAAGTTAAGCTATTATGCAAATATTATAAAAATAGGAAAGTTAAATTAGGACCTATATATTCACACAACAAACTGCTTTTTCTTAAGTACAGCTGACATAATAAGAGATGGAAAAAACATGCATTTATAAACATATTTAAAATTAAGAAGAGAAGACACTGCTATAGAATTTCTAGTACTCTGCCATACAGCTATTTCCTATGTTATAATGATACTGGTGATACCTATATTTCTGGACTGATAAGAATCACACCACCAACGTGCTTTAGTTTCTTTTGTAGCTAAAGAAGTTGATTTGTAAATTTAAACTATGGCATACACTCTAATGAGAAATAGATAAAATATATAATTAAGTTTCTGGTTCAACTTTGAACAAGCTTTATATCTAGTCACATAACCAACACAAGCAAGACATTAGTGCAAAAGGGAAGCTGTCAGTTGTACATGATGAGTACTCTTTCCCTAACTGCATGATGTGAGAGAACAATTATCAGATTAAAAGTTCAAGTGGATTAACATGAGAACAAGAGACATTTTTTCTCCCAAACTTGGCACTGACTTCCAGAGGATCATCAGGAAAGCAACATCAGTGTCCTAGTTTAGGGCAAATTTGGGGAAAACCCTCTGGAAGGAGCCCCCAGAAAACAAACCCCCACGGCCCCTCCCCACCCACCTGGTTCGGGAAAAAATTTCCTCTGAGAGAAGTGGAAAAGAACCTGTTTATTCAACGAACAAAGCACCCCCCAGCACCAAAAAGAAAATTAACAACACCAGATGACAACAAAACTCTTTCACCACTCTGACGAGATGAACAAATCCAGAAAGTCTTTCCTGGGAGTGGTTGCCCGGGTCTGGGCGCTGGGGGATTGCTCTCCAGCACTGGGGATGGTTGCTGCAGATGACCAAAATGCAGGATCTCGGTGCTCCTCGGTGTTTCCCAGGTCCCAGTCCGGAGCAGGTTGGATGGTATTCAGGAAGAGGAAAGGAAAAGAAACAGTCCAGGGAAAGAATTGGACTGCTTAGCTAAACTAACTAGGAAGCAAAGGCGAAAGCAGAAGCAAGCAAAGCAAGCAAGCCAAGCAAGCAAGCCAAGCAAGCAAGCAAAGCAAGCAAGCCAGCCAGCACTAGCCTTTTCTAGACAGCAGACCATGGGGGGAGGTGAACTGGCTGATAACAAGGCAAAACAAACCTTCACTTTCAGAGTCAGTTCTGAAAGCACAGAACATAATATCAAACGTAAACAGAACACAGGATTGGAGATACAAACACCATAACATCACCCTAGGACAATCAGTTACAGCTAGAATAAAAAAGTTAAACCCCAGTTCAGAAAGGTGATATGTGTGACATTCACATTCTCTCAACAGAGAGACATAATTCTGTCTCTCAGGATTTCTTGGAGAAGCACAGAGAGAAGAAAAGAAAACAATCTTTATCTCTGCTCCTTTGTTTTCCCCATGTGGAATGGAGATTTTTTATCTGAAGTGATTGCTTGATTGGATTCTGGCGAAGGTTGTTTGGGTTCAATGACCACTCGGATCCAGCTGTGTCTCAGACTCTCAGCAGAGAGTCACGAGTTTGTTAGGTAAGTAAGAAGTAAGTATGTAGAATACTACAGAATCTCTTTAAATAGTATATTAATGTAATATAGTATAGTTTTAATAAAGCTATCCTTCAGCCTTCTGATCTGGAGCCAGACATCATAATTTCTTCCCTTGATCCGAGGTTCACCGCATTTTACTATAGATATGTAGGTCCACAATTTGTAATGCTATGAAGGCAGCATGCTCAAAAAGCACTCCAAACAAAACTGCAAATCAAAATGGGCATTTATTTTGAAATTGGCCAACTGCTGCATAGAATTGTTCATCACAGTCACATTTAAGTCAGTGCATAGAGAAGATAAAAAGCACTTATGGTAGTTGCAAATGTTAACAAGTCCATAGAAAAAGAACAGAGTAAAAGTAGAAATGCTCAAGCAAAACCAAAAAAAGATTACCCTCCAACTGTATAAAATCCACACAACAGTTGTAGTAAAAAGAAATCAGTGGAAAATATTCAACTCAGTCCTAAACACCTGACAGGAAAAAAGGACCAGAATAGACAAACCAATGGCAAACAATTTTAAGAGTCTAAATATAGCACTATATTTCTAAATAATCCACAAAATATAACGTATGGCATATTCAAATATTGGTTAACCAACTCTGCAGATGCAATTCTAACATCGCTTTAGAAAATGAGAGCAAGATGGAGCAAACTAAAGGAATACTGATATATTGCAACAGTGCACAAGAAAAACATTGTCACTAAGCTATGCTTCAACAACAGCACTCTGTGCCTGCACACTATTATCTATGAAGCAAAACAAATTTCTCTAGCTTTTCAGGGATGTGCCCTGCATAGCATATGTTATGATTCACTATAAAACAAGCAGCAAGACATTACAATGTAGTATGATTTATAGGATGGATTAAGTTTTTTGCTATCTTTTTCTCATCCAGTAGATCTCTAGCAGTTTGTTTATGAAAGTTTGTGGCATCAAAGTGTGAACCTGACTCGATAAGAAAATTCATTATTCCTAGATGGTTGTTCAGTGCAGCAATATGTAAAGGACTGTTGTTATCAGAGTCTCTGACATTTATATTAGCACCACATTCCACCAGGATAGCAGTAACTTGTAGAGAGGGGAATTTACAAACTGGGTAGCGACCCACACATGTAGTATTCTTGTCAACAGCAAGATGAAGTGGACTGAAGTTATTCTTCCCTCTAGGCTGAAGCTTAAGAAACTTATATATAGTCTGTTTCTTAAAATGCTCCTGTTCTGAGGTGCAAGGTACTTTTTCCAACAAGCAAATTAAATGCAAAATGATAGAAAGTGCTTTGTTTAGCTGTATTGGATCAGGAGGACACTGGATTTGTTTCATGGCCCGCTCTATTTCAAGAACACTTTTGCACAGTATACCCATTAGATCATCAAAAGTGACAGTAGTGCCTAGCAGGCCCTTTGCCCTATCCTGAAGCATGAAAGAGAAGAGTTCAGCAAATGATAGCAAACTGCTGTCTGTCATAGGGCTCAGTGGATCTAGATTGCTCTGCTGCATGTCCAAAGCATATTTCCATAAGTTGATGCATCGTTTAAAGTTTCCAGAGTCTGCATAGACAGCACCTCTGTACCTAATATAGTAGGATGTATCTGGGTGAGAGGGACCAAGAATACGTTCTCTAATTAATAGTGCTTGCATTCTCATCTCATCAGGATCTGCAATAAGATTTTCTAGCTCTTCGAAGCTGTTTACTTCTTTAGCATAATCATAGGCCATAATTAGTGTTTGTGGTACAGGTCTGTTCAGGATACTAATCCTATCATTGTATCTCATTTCCATAGCTTGCTTCCAGTATTTCAAAGCACAAAGCAGATCTCTCTTTTTGTCCACAAATGTTGCTCCTAGAAGTTCCAGAGCATTTATACATTCTATCTTACTAGTCTGTTCATGTTGGGTCAGGAAGTCCACAATATTTGTGTGGCCTGTCACACTGGCTGACAGAAGAGGAGTCATTCCATAGCCATCCTTTTCCATCTTAGCACAATACTTGAGAAGCATCTTCATAATCTCTCAACTTCCAGATTCTGCACAGTCATGTAATGCAGTGTTTCCTAGCAAAAGAAGAAAAAAAAAATTACATAAATTATAATCAAATTATAGTCCAGACATCATCCCATTAATAGGTAAAAAAAAAAAAAAAAAAAAAAAGCTTTGACATCTACAAACTATGAAAGGCTTAAATGACAAGTCAAAAAAATTCAAGATCTGATTAAAACATCACAGCTACCACACAGTTATACAAACCAAAATACCGAAATGCTTGACATTATTACCCAAAATAATTAAACAGATTTTAAGGACATGTCTCATTATTCAAAATTTAAACCAGAATTCTCTACCACATGAGAAATTTTGTATCTGCTTTCAAATATAAAACAGAAACCTAAGCTTGCCAGCTTAAGTGGTTATATGCCTTAGTGCTCTCTTGTCCCCCCTTTGTCCCAGCTAGCTTCATGGCGGGAGGAGAACGCGGGCAATTTCCATGTTTTCCGGCGAACCCTCGCAGGCGTCGGCCGGTGCTGCGTGGGTCTGGGAGTGCGGCTAGTCCCGCGGCGAATTAAAGGAGAGACACTTTTTCTCCCGCGGGCAGAATCCCGGTTTGTTGTGGCTTGGTTGGGAAAGCAAAAACCGAAAAGGCTGCAGCGTGCCGAGCTGAAGTTTGTTCGTGCCGCCTTGCCGGTTCGGCGGTGGCGGCTGCGGCAGTCAGGGGCCGGGCGGGAGAAAAAGCCGCGGCGGTGGTTGCGGGGTGGCAGCGCGCAGAGGCCGGGCGGGAGAAAAAGCGTGGGGCGTCCCCAGCCCGTGGGTTAAGTACTGAACAGGGGAAACCCGGGGCGGCCAATGAGATAACGCCACGGGGGGTCTGGGGACAGTGGGGTGCAGGGGTACATCCAATGGGAGATGGACAGGTGGAGGGTCCCAGGTTGTCTCCTGACCCCGCCGCGTGACTGACAGATGGTCTGCGGGATGTAAACACAGGGACTTGGCACTTTCCCGGGAAGGCAAACCACGGGGGGAGATGGGAAAACCCGGGGGGTCGCTACAGAGCGCGGGGGGGGGCACATGGAATGAACTTATACATAATAAAACATATAATAACACAATTCCACAACTCCTTCTTCTGTTTTTCAAAAGAAAAGAATGAAAAATAACTTAAATGGGAGATTTTACAGTCCTGTTCCCCATCGTTGAATCCGATGTCCTCTGGGTATTCTGCTCGGTTCTTTTCTGGCTGTCTGCGTTGAGCGGTGTCAGCTCTGATGGGGCAGTGAAGTCTGGGCGGTCGATGTGCATGGTGGAATTGATGACCTTTAAACCTTTTAATATTGCTAAAACTTATAATAAGAATCATGAATGTTAACAGCAACATAAGTCTTGTCTCTGAAACGGATTGGATTTAACTTGTGAGACTTCATCCTTCAAAGCGACCTCAGCCAGTCACTTGCGAGAGGGATGAAGCTTACATCTGAAAAAAAACTGGAACATTCATCAGCATTCTAGGGAGGGGAGGTTTAAATCAAAAAGGAAGAGTGAGTCTAGGGAACTGGATGGTGAAAGGGAAGGCTCTGAAAGAGAAGGTGCTGAATCAAAAAGGAAGGGAGGAGACTTTCTCCGTCTGCGGAGGGCTGCATGCTTCACCTGAGGATCTTGTTTCTTATCAGTCTGGTGTTTGGGGACATATGGCCGGACAAACTTGGACGGGACCCATCTCAGGCCTGAGGGCGTGGACACGCAAGCGTATCCCCGTCCCCAGGTGACTAACTCATGGGGCCCTTCCAGCTGCCAAGTCTCTGGATTTTTGACGATCACTGGTGGTTTTTCCCTAACCTTGCTCAGCTCGTGGTTGCCAAAGTGCCTGGTGATTGGCGGGTTGAGGTTTTCAAAAGAACAGTTCAGGAAGTTCAGTGTAAAGAGGGCACGCGCGAGCCGAACTTGGGGGGACTCAACCTTCATAGTTGGTGTTTGTTGTTTCAGCATGCGTTTGAGACTCTGATGAGTCCGCTCTACCACGGCTTGACCTGTCGGGGAATATGCGATGCCAGTTTTGTGCTCTATTCCCCATTGCTGCAGGAAGCTGGCAAATCCTTTGGATGTGTACCCGGGGGCATTGTCTGTTTTTATCAGTTTTGGGACGCCCAGCATAGCGAAGGCCTGTATCAAATGCTTTTCAATGTCTTTGGCTTTCTCCCCTGCGTGGGCAGAAGCAAAGACTGCCCCAGAGAAAGTGTCTACAGAGACATGGACGTACTTCATCCTCCCAAAGGAATGGATGTGAGTAACATCCATCTGCCATACCTTGCAGGACTTCAGACCCCTAGGGTTTGCCCCTGAGCTCACCGATGGTAGGGGGAGTGACTTGCAGGATGGGCAGGTGGCCACAATGGCTCTGGCTTGGTCACGAGTAAGGTGGAACTGCCGGACCAGGCCGGGCGCATTCTGGTGGTAAAATTGGTGGCTGATCTTAGCCTGCTGGAACTTATCTGGGAGCAGTGCTACTTGAGCCGGGGCGGCAGCGAGAGAACTGGCACGCCGATTACCCTCGGCCAAAAACCCTGGTAAGTTGGTATGTGACCTGATATACATCACGTAAAAGGGTTGCTCTCAGTGGGAGACTAGCTTAATCAGTTTCGAGAGCAACTTGTGCAGGGCTTCGTTGGACACACCCTGCAGTACAGCATCCTGCGCTCTAGACACTACGCCAGCTACATATGCCGAATCGGTTACCAAATTAAAAGGTTCAGAGAATCGCTCAAAGGCCCTGACGACAGCAGCCAACTCAGCTATTTGAGGGGAGCCTTCCACCTCCACAATGTCTGTCTCCCACTGCTGCGTCTGGGGGTCTTTCCAAGTTATCACAGACTTGTGAGAACTCCCAGACGCGTCTGTAAAAACTGTCAAGGCTTTGAGTGGCTTTTTGCTCTGAATTCGTTTGATGGACAATGCGAATTGAATTTCTGATTCAAAAATTTTGTGGGCTGGTCTCAAAACTGAAATTTTGCCTGTGTAGCTGTCTAGAGAGAACTGCAGGGATTCATTTTCCTGTAACAGATGTTCTAGCATGGCCTTGGTGAATTGGCCTGATTCCAATTTGATGGGAATGTGAATGCATTCAAAGTCACATCCAGCTAGCTCTCGGATCCGTGCTCTTGCCTTGCGGATCAGTTCTGCTACTAACACCTGTGGCCTTGTCATTCTCTTGGACCGATGGTGACTTAGGAAGACCCATTCTATGATGGAGAGTGGGTCCCTTTGGTCCTGGCCCTTGCCCTTCCCTGGGGTGTCTGTCCATTGAAATATCACACCATGGAGGTGCGGAAGCCTGCCCAATATGATGAATTTAAAAGGCAGGTCCGGATCGTACCGGTGGGCCTGTCTGGCAGACATTGTCTCCTGGACCCTAATCAAAGCTGCGTGGGCCTCTGGGGTGAGTTCCCTGGGAGAACTCGGCTCCTCCCCCCTTTCAATAAATCGAAAAGAGGGGCTAGGTCTCTGTTTGTGATGCCCAACCATGGCCTCACCCAGTTCAAAGAACCGCACAGCTGCTGGACGTCTGCTAGGGTCTGAATTTTGGTTTTGATGGCCAATTTTTGCGGAGTAATAGTCAGCTTGGTAATTTCCAAACCCAGGTACTTCCAGGGTGGCATCTTTTGAATCTTATCCTCTCGCAGCTTGAACCCTGCAGCAACCAACGCATCGGTTGTCAGGTTAAGCGCGTGTGTAAGGAGATCGTCATTGGGAGCACAAATCAAGATGTCATCCATATAATGCTGGATGATCACGCCCTCGGTGGCTGTACGGACTGGGGTCAGCAATGAAGCTACGTACCGCTGGCAGATGGTGGGCGAGCATTTGAGGCCCTGTGGCAACACTCGCCAATGGTACCGCTCCATTGGGGCTTCTCGGTTAAGGGACGGAACCGAGAAGGCAAAACGCGGTGCGTCTTCCGGGTGGAGGGGGATATGAAAGAAGCAATTTTTGATGTCAATCACAGCCAATTCCCATGCTTTGGGTAACATTGTGGGGGACGGCATCCCTGGTTGGAGTGGACCCATATTTTCGATCACATTGTTGATTCCACGGAGGTCGTGGAGCAGCCGCCATTCGTCTTTGCCTGGTTGTTTCAGGACAAAGACGGGGGAATTCCAAGGAGATGTTGTTTCTTGGATATGTCCCTTGGCAAGTTGCTCTGCCACGAGCTTTTGGAGCGCTTTTAATTTTTGTTTATTGAGCGGCCACTGCTCTACCCAGATCGGAACATCAGAAAGCCAATTCAACTTTTGGGTAGGACGCTCCTCAGTGACCGCTGCCCGAAAAACCTGGGGGGTAGGAATGGTCAATGTGACCCCCCACTGGGCCATCAGGTCCCTTCCCCACAGGGTCTCTGTGTAATCCAGAACAAACGGACGCAGGTAAGCTGTTTGTCTGTTTGGCCCCTCAAATTTGATGATGTTTTTAGATTGTTTTGCCAATTGTGCCCCTCCAACACCTTGAATGTGTCCAGCCACGTCCTGTAACTCCCAATGCGACGGCCAATCCCGTGAGGGAATGACTGTGACGTCTGCCCCTGTGTCCAAGAGGCCGTTAAGCCACTTGTGCTCACCTCCATTCCACATGTAACACTCAATTTTAGGTCTATCCTTCCCAATTACCTGGGCCTGACACACCTCGTAGATCTCCTTTGCGGTTTTCATCCATAGATCTTCTGGGTAGACGGGGGCCCCAGATGCAGCTATGGCCTGGGCGATGATTTGCCCTTTGGGAAGGTAGACTGGCGGGTGAGCACAGTGCAGCCACAGCACCAGATGTTTAGGGTTTGCCGATGTTAAATTGGGTGCGATAGTGATGTTGAGTGGCGTGTATTTTGTGTCCCCAAGGACGATGTACTTACTGTGGAGTTTCCTCCAGGTCCCTGGGTCCTGTGTGTCCACTGTGACAAAGTACCAATTGCTGTCCCTGAGCAGTAGGGGTTCGGTTAGGGCCAACCTGTATGGAGAGAAGTTGGACTGGGTGTTAAGGATGGGCCTGGGATGGTCGGGGTCCCGAACAAGCCATGCCTGCGAGATGAAATTCCCGACTCCCCCCACGCAGGCTGGTTCACCAGCTCTTGTTCCCCTATTGTGCACTCCAATAATGTCATGTTTGGTATTATAGTTATTGTCCTCAGGTGGGTATGTTAATGTGTTGTCCCTCCTGCCCCCTGATGTTATGTTTCCCACCAAATTTGTGTCCTCACGCAGGGAGGGACTGCGCTGGGAAATTAGTTTTTTGAATGTCCCCCTGAGTTGAAGGCACTTTTCCCCTGCTGCTGGTTTTTAAAACGCAAGAAGTCCTCTTTGAGGGGGCAGTGAGATGCCCAGTGTCCTTTCTTGTTGCAGAGGTTGCAGGGCCGTCCTGGATGGTAACCTTTGGGTGGTGGCTCAGTGAAGCGGCGTGAAGGAGCTGGAGCCACGGATGGCGTGTGGGCTTCAGCGAAGAAGACTCTCTGTGATGGCGTTTGGGGTGTCCCCTGAGGGTCCTTTGATGGCAGGGTGACCCTTCGAGCGCACACGTCCAGCATGTCTTGGAGCGTAGGCTCTGGGTCGAGGGGCAGGCTCAGCATTGCCTGTCGGCAGGCCTCGTTGGCGTTCTGCAGGGCGATCTGCTTCACCATGCCTTGCTTCAATCCCTCCTCTGGCACCTGCGATTCAGCTGCCCTGTACAACCTGTCTCTGAAACTAACGAAAGATTCCTGTGTCTCCTGCTTTATAGAAAAACAGTTAACAACAGGACCACGGGGTTTTAACTTAAAAAATGCTTTTTCTGCCGTGTTGGCAGTTGCTGCCAATGCCCCTCTTGGAATCTTTTCAGCCTGTGTTGTTGCCACCTCCCAATCCCCCATCCTGCACAGATGATCAATGGTTAGCATCCCTCCATAGGTGTCGGAGGAGGTCTCGGCTTTTGCCCAAAGTTGGGGTAATGCATCCCATACCTCCCGCCTCCATGCGGACTCCCATACCAAAAACTCAGCTTGAGTAAGCACACACAAAAACAGAGCGTGCACGTCAGCAGGGACGTACTCGTTGGACGAAAGTGTGACTTTTAAAAGTCCCCTAAAGTATTCACTTTCCCGACCAAAGTCTTTTTGGGCTTTGCAAACATCTCTAATTACAGCCTGTGGGATAGGGGTCCACTGTGCCAGGGGTCTGCCCCTCTGCCGCGGGGTGTAGGTGACTGGTGCGGCAGAAAAGGCAAGCGGGGGTTGCGGCAGGTCGCGGCTTCCCCCCTCCCCCCCCCTTCCTCCCTCTCTCCCCCCCCCCTCGGGAACCAAGGCGTGGGAACCAGAGGGCGGGTCGCGGGAACCGAGGGCGGAGGCAGGACCAGGGCTAGGGGGTGTGGCTGGTGTTACCTCACCCCTAGGGGCGAGGTCGGAGGGAGGACTGATGAATGATTCATTAGGGGAGGTGCCAGAAGGGGGTGGAGGGGAGGGGTGGGTGGAGAAGTCTCTGGAGTGGGAGGGGTTGGCTGTAGGGTGAAGGGGGTCGTTGGAAGACAAAGCACGGAGGGAGGGGGATGGGCATGCCATGCGGGCCCCTCCATCTTGTGCCCTGGGGCAGGGAAGGGAATCATTTTGGGAAAGGTCCGGGAAAGGTCCTGGAGAGGAATCTGGGGTTTTAAAACTCACAACTTTGCTACTATGGGGCAGGGCTGTACAAAGAGAGGAGGTTTGGGGAGGGGAAGGGTGCAGGGCGATGCCAGCATTGTCCTGCGATGGAACCTGGGGGTTGACAGAGAGGCCAGATTCTGCATGCGGCTGGTTTTGCTGGGATGCCTGTCTGAGAATCCCCGGGCTAGGGAGAGAGGGATAGGAGAGGGATTTTGGGGGGATTTGGGGGGCTTGGGAGGCAGCGTTCGCCCTGCGGTGGCTCTGGCTTCCCTTCGCAGTCATTTTTGACAATATTTCTCAATTGGATTGCTAGATGGATAAAAATTGAGAGGGACTGATCCTCCTTTTGGGCAATTTCTTTTTCAACTCGGTCCCAGAATTGAACGTGGTACAAATTTGCCTGTGAGACATCCTGGAAGGACTGCAGAAGCCACCGTGCAAAACGCTTCACGTCTGATTTCTTACATCTCTTTCCTCCCCCAACTAAAATTCCTAGGATTTGAACGTAAATTCTCTCGTGTGACACAGACATTTTTGCACCCATTATGTCGATGTTAAGGCGTGTCACAACCCTCGCGGTTGGTAAAATAACAAAAGAAAAAAAAAAAAACCTGTCGGAGACGCTGGGTAGCATTCCCTTACACACTCCCTGCAGCAGGAGATAAAATGTGGGCTCTTATCGCCCTCTTGTGGCAGAAAGAGAAACTCACCCCAAAGGGAGCAAGGCGTACCCAGCCCAGGGGGACCCGGTAACTCACCACGGGTCCAGCGACGTCCCGAAGGGGAAAAGAAAAGTCCAGCTGCGAAGTTTTTTGCCGTGGGGGGGCCGAGCTTCGCGGTGCAAGCCAAAGGTGCCGGCCCCCACCCCTCTGGAAGCCCTGGCTCATTAAAACGGAATCGCGGCTTGCGAGGGTCTTGTAACGTCCACGAGGTAAATCCACGAGCTTCTCGGGGCTCGGTGGTCCTCAGTCCGTTTGCCTGGAGCTCCCAAGCAACGTGGTGGGCGCCACAACTGCCTAGTGCTCTCTTGTCCCCCCTTTGTCCCAGCTAGCTTCGTGGGGGGAGGAGAGAGATTTTTCTCCCGCGGGCAGAATCCCCGGTTTATTGTGGCTTGTTGGGAAAGCAAAAACCGAAAAGGCTGCAGCGTGCCGAGCTGAAGTTGTTTGTGCCGCCTTGCCGGTTTGGGGGCGGGGTGGCGCGCTCCCGAAGCTGGCCGCAAGCCAAGAGAGGCGGCGCGCGGAGCCGCGGCGCTGTGGCCGGCACGCGCAAAGTGTCCCGCGTGAGCGGCCTCGGCGGTGGAGCAGAGCGGCCGCGGGGCAGTTCGGAGCGGCTGTGGCATGCGATCGCGGAGCGGAGCGAGCGGCCGCGATCTCCGGGGCAGGGGAGTGGTGGCGGCGGCGGCGGCTTGCGGCAGTCAGGGGCCGGGCGGGAGAAAAAGCCGCCGGCGGTGGTTTTGCGGGGCGGCACACTCGGCAGAGGCCGGGCGGGAGAAAAAGCGTGTGGCGTCCCCAGCCCGTGGGTTAGAAGATACTGAACAGGGGAAACCCGGTGGCGGCCAATGAGGATAACGCCACGGGGGGTCTGGGGACAGTGGGGTGCAGGGGTACATCCAATGGGAGATGGACCAGGTGGAGGGTCCCAGGTTGTCTCCTGACCCCGCCGCGTGACTGACAGATGGTCTGCGGGATGTAAACACAGGGACTTGGCACTTTCCCGGGAAGGCAAACCACGGGGGGGAGATGGGAAAACCGGGGGGTCCGCTACAGAGCGCGGGGGGGGGGGGCACATGGAATGAACTTATACATAATAAAACATATAATAAACACAATTCCACAGTTATATTTTCCCTTCTTCCCTTGTCAAATTTCCTTCATCCCTATCTCTATCCATAATATAAAATTAAAAATAAGATTTGAATAAAAATTAAAGCTGTGCTAACTCAACACTGGCCTTGCTCACTGCTATACTGTAGCTCTTCCTCTCTCTTTCATCCCAAGCCTTTAATTAAAGTGGTCCAAGGTAATAATTGTACATAGAGGCAAATAACACCTCATCACAACAGGCCCTTCATATCAGCCGGGGCCTCAGAGACTGCCAGAATATTCTGAGGGACCGAGTTATTTTGTCAAGCCTATGTATACCACCACAGACCAAACTATTTCTAGTACTTTATTAGGTTTATTCTGAAGTCCACCTAAACCCCTCCTCTGCTCAGGATTCCAAAATTAAAAAAAAAAACCCAAGCCCCCAAACCCAAACAGTGCCTTCAACACACAAAGCAGCCATTTGTCTTATAAGTCATATCATTACAATAAGATTATTCTTATGAAGAGAACATGCAATATCTGCTAAAGGCATTCAGGTGGCACTCATACTATGTGGTGAAATTTCCAGCAAGCAGTAATGTCAACCAACTGCAAAACATTTGTAGCAAACTAAAAAGAAATCATTGGACACCACAATTAAATGTCAAACTACTGTTTTAAGTAGGAGAAAGTTTTGCTTAAGACCATACATGAGTAGTTCACTCGGGGAGACAGGAAGATGGACAACGGATAACTCTCTCTGTCCTCCCCAACATAATAAAGCTTCCTGGGGTTTTTATTGCTTTTAAAACTACACAATTTAAACCTAGCTTCTTTTTCATATATACTACAGATTCAGGCGTACTAACTTTTCAGCCTCCCACTACATTAACATGAAAATAATTAACAGCATGCCCATGTAAGAATCCTACCCTCCCACTCCCCAATTTAAATGTCTTATACCACTAGCCTTGCAATTTCTGGTTTACTGGCTATCAGATCATCAGTATCTGTTATATCATCAGCAAGTTTCCACATCCTCAAGTCAGAGAACCCTTTTCCAAGGATTCTGTACATTCATAGTCATCTGATTTGGCTTTTAAAATGTTCAGAGAGAAAGTTTCATAAACTTTCTCATTTGCATTTTGGCAGGCTTTTTTCTATGACAACAAGACACTGATTTGCAGTAGCCTTTTCTTTGGATTTTTAGAGGTATAAACAGAACTGAAGTAGGTAGAGAAAGAAATCAATAGGGATGAAATCTTCAGCTGATGTTTGGGAAAAGTGCATTTTGTAGGTATACAGTCTCCTAATTTCAACAACTTAGCTTAGACTTGTCTTAGTACATTTTCCTAATGTACTCCCCTCCTCTCCCAGGCTGTTATCTGTAGAATGTGCAGTTTACCTTTTACATTAGTGTTTAGCCAGTAAAACTCAATTTGGTCCCTAAAGTGTGCCTGTGATTTGTCTTAAAAGCTAAACAGGGCATCAAAATAAACACTAGAAAGGTATTTTGGAAGCTGCCACTCAAGACATGATCTGGGATGAAAAAGATTCAAAACTACAAGTGTTTCTACCAATACATGTCAGAATGTTGTTTTAGCTGGGCAAATTAAAAATTTAAATTTCAAAATATTCATATACATATTTTAAGTTGTATTTGAGGTGCCAGTTGATTTTTAAAAAATACAACCTCACCAAAAATTTAATTGCAGACCATACTGTACTTGTTAAAAGTTATAGTCATCCTTAAGTCACAACTATTTCATCTTTACCTATTATCATTCACAATCTTTTATTTCTACCTTCAAGTCAATATTTTTAAGATATTAAGTCATAACAAATGCATATTACAGACAAACATATCAAAATGCACTAGTACCACCAAAGTTCTTACAATTAACAACTATTGATATACATATTGCTATATTTGACAATAGGATCAATGGCAACTATTCATAATACACATTGTAGATCCATCACCACATACCTATGACATTTATGCTCTTTTATCAGTTACCATAAATGTATGCCATGACACACTAATAGTGCAAAAAGTCATACAAATTAGGCCTAGCCAGTGCCTACATAATTCAAGAACACACCAACAGTTTACATGGCATTCATTTACAATGAAGCTATGCATAACACGTGGAAATATTCCTACGTCACCAAGGGTTTTCAGTATTCTCTCCATCTGGA